TCACCGTGGAGAGCCGTTAACCGATATACAAATTAGCCTGCAGTGCCACTGCTCTACCTAAACGAGCAGCCAAAACGTTTTTAGACCAAATATTACAGATTTGAACAAAAACGCACAAAAACATCAAAATTAGCACAGAAACAGTACTATATAACATTTTAGACACATTCTAGGCAGTTTATCAGCTAAAAAAAAGTTAATTTTGGGGTAAGTTACTCTTTAAGCGTTTCCTTTAAGGCCATGGTTCTCAAACTAAGGTACAACTTCTGTTGATGGTACTTGGATGAAATTTTGGTATTAATTATTTAGACAGCAAGCTAAATTATTGAACGTAAACTAATATGTGAAGTAAAGCTGAACAGCAGAGATGAGCGGTTCCTGGAAATTAGGATCTTGGCTCCAAACAGAATCTGCTGGAAACAGAAGTGGAGTGGAGAACAACTGGAGAACCCTTGTGTTAACTGGTGGAATCAGAGTTCTAGTGTTGGATTTTTTTAAGCAGCACCAATGAGGCTTTGTTTGCAACAAGAGGAAAACAGAGGATAGTTTTCAGTTTTCTTCAGTTTGTAGTGTATTCAGCTGAGTTGGACTAAAGATTATGTGCTGTTCTCAACAGCTAAGACACAGAACCATCACATCTTAAGTAGGCTTGGCAGTATGATGATATTGTGACCTCTRTATTGAAAAATGGTGACATGTAGGAATCATGTCACATTAACCCTCTGGAGCCTAGTCACGTGACCTATTTAAAAAGTGGTATTATATTGCGAGAAACTTTTTTTGAGCGTATGCAGTGTAAATGATTATGATGGGTGCATTTTCACTGCGGAGCTCAGCGCATACGCGGTGAAAATTGGGAGTTTGTGTTTTCCTAAGTGCTGCTCGGTCCAAAAGGTTTGAGAACCACTGCTTTAATAGTATCACAAAAAATAAGTTTTTCAAGTTCAAACGACTTTGATSTTTTAGTCTACAGAAGCCAGGATGTTCTTGTTTGTTCTTATCAGATGTTTTTGAAAGATTTTTTCTGTCTGTGCTTCATCTACATAATCAGACAAAACAAGTCTTCCAACCGCAGCTCTGAGCACGTCTTTTAAAGAATCTGTTTTTTGGAACCAACTAACAAACCCGAGTGTTTYGTGTTTAATCAGGTTCGTTTGTTTGATGTGTTGCCTTTTATCATGCTCGCTGAGTTTCACATCACTCATGCAGCTGGACGCTGCTGATGCACTTTGGGTCATAAATAYTCCTGTTCTGACACACGCATGCCTCCGCCTCTTCCAAATGGATTCATAAGCTTCCTCTGAGGTGAAATACACACACATGCAGTTACTAACACTAACAAACACACACAGACACACAGAGACATGGTGTGATTCCCCTCACTTGAAATAAATTAGTCGTGGCTAGTTTATGAGTAATGCAGCTGTCCCCTCCTCACTCCTTCCTGCTGAATCACACACAGACCTCCCCTATCCTCCCTGTTTATGCCCCCCCCCTTATCATATAGTCATTATTTATTCTCACTGATGCCTCCCTTTTTGCCGCTTCCATTCATCTCCCCACATTACACACCTTTCTCTTTATTTTTACCTCCCTCATTCTCCAACTCCTTGCTCTTCAGCTCCCTCTTCAACCTCCAGGTCCCAACGGGGAGGAGGAGGAGTGGTGCCATTGAAAATTTGCACACCATCGTGATTATTGGCTTTGATCTGTTAGCTTGCCGCCTCCTCCTCTAATCCTATCCGCTCACTGTCACTTCCTTGCCCAAAACGTTCTCGGTGCAGGAGCTCAAACAGCCGAAGCGTCTTCATTAGCTAAATGAAATCTAAAGGGTCTTTTCATTTGGTTTCATTGATTGTAAGTGATTTTTAACCAGTTTTTCTTTCATGGAGCAGGGAATGCTTCTTGTCCAGGTTTTGTGTTGAAAATGTTGAGTTGTACTATTATTTTAAAAATTGATCACAGTTGCAGACGATAATAAATCTAGAAACAGATGGACCCCCCACTCCACTAAATGCCAACAGCAGGTTTAGATGATACTGTCTGAAAAATAGAAACACATTAGGAGTTTTAATGAATGACTCTTAGCTACTACCACATCAASTTTTAGCTTAATATCTAGACAATTTAGCCAGTTTTGTGTTGGCTAATGTCCATTAAGTTAATCAGTTAGAGGCGAATCTAAGGATTATTTCCTGAAAGCTTAATTAAAATGCCTGTGACATGCCTATCCTTCAAATAAACATCAAAGAAAATATCTTCATATCTAGGAAAATTGGCATAAAACACAGGATTTAACCCATTTTGTCACATWACTGGCATATTTTCCTTTGAATTTGGCTGAGCTAAAATGAAACAGGAAGTGACATCAAAGGAGAACTCCATAAGAAAGAAAACTCCCTTGTCTTTGTTTATTAAAACAATATTATTTGAACTCTGACTTTTCTTCATCTCTTTTATAGGGACTAAAATTATCTAAAGAAACATCAGAAAATTTCCTTCTGTCTGTGTTGCTAGATGTTGTAGCAGCGCTCTGTTCACATGCAGACACTCTCCTTTGATATCACTTCCTGTTACTTCACATGCAAATATCTCAACAACTGTTCATCGCAGTGGTGTGAAATTTCTTTTGAAATTGAATTTAATATTTTGAAATATATCCATGTTATCTTTCCAAAAGTGCAATCATATTTATCACAAAAATTTGATGTCACAGGCACTTTAAAATCCATCCAGTGGTTTATGGCATTTATTAAGACGGGCAGAGTTGACGCCAAATGGCTAATGGCAAAGTTTTAAATAATCTTCTGCAGTCTGTTGGGGGATTCGTCTCAGCTACCACCGCACCAAATTTGACCTCACTATCTGTAGATTGGACCACATTATAATCTTTTTTTGTGTGTTTTTGTTATTTCAGGTCAGTTTGGCAGCWGTTRTTTTTTTGTGTTGACTTCAAAAGTTAACTCGTTGTAGATTTACATCTAGTTTCATTCACATTTGTCCAATGCTTCGTGAGATATTTTGCTAACTGAGGCACATACAGTACGATGAAGAGTTGATGGTCAATAAAGAAAAAAATGAAGAAAATCTAAGTTTGTTACAACTCATATCAGGATCTATAACTATACTTGGAAAATTKAGGGAAATTTTTGTTTGGTAGATAATTTCTTTCTTCTTGGCAATAGATCTTATACCAATGGAAAGTCTGGTAATTATGCTTTTAAATGGAGCCACATTTGTAAGGAATGTGGAATGAGCTGTAGAGCAGTGTAGGTTGCCATTGCCAACTGTTGCTGTTGACACTTGTTTTGAGCTTCTAGTACCTCCAGGTTCCTGATGTAGGATTTATTGCCTAGATGCATCATTACAACAAAAAGTAATCCACCAAACACACATTTCTTTACTTTTTGTGCTAAGTTCATATTCGAATGCAGGGGTGGAACCAGAGGTGTGTTCAGTGCCACTCCTGGTACCTGATTGGCCACCCCAGGTGCCACCACCAAATAATTATCAAGCGGGTGGGGGTCTTGAATTGTGTATTTGCATTTAGATTTTGTTAAAGTGTGTTATCTGATACTACTGTAAAAATGCTTTTGCTGTGTATGTTGGAAAATGACTGAATTATATATAGCTCTATGAAAAATTAGCATTAGCGGTTAGCTTAATTTGGGTTTAGCCTTGGCATGTGATCAGTCTTGGCTACTCCACAACACATTTAATATCAAATCTTAAAATGACTAAGTTATAGCCTTTTAAAATTAGCAGTGGTGGCCATCTTCAACATTTGATTAGAATTTGGTAAAGATTGTTTTTGGTTATTTCTACACTAGTCTTCAGCTTCTAAAAATGGCTGAATAATTAGTTGTGACTAGCATTCAGCTTGTTAAAACAGCTGAATTAAAGCCATTTGGAATTAGCTCTGGCAGCCATTTTGTATTTTCAAATCCAAGGTGCTTTTCTTTATTTGAATGTGCCCCCCCCCAAACAACCACCCTGACCACCCCTGTGCCACCCCTTGCAAAAAAGCCTAGCTCTGCCCCTGTTCTAACAATCCGATGTTTTCCTAATATTGAAATCTAACAAGATTTCAAGAAGAGGAAAAAAAGAAACTGAGGCTTTAATACAATTCAGTTTTTTTATTCAAAATTAAACATAAAACAGTGCAGTGTTTTTGATTTGGTGCCAAATAAAACACACTCAGCAGCACTTCGTGTTGGAATAAAACTGGACGGACACACACAACACACACACACAGACTGGTAATCCTCTGGTGGCACAAATAAACATACTGACACACAATATGTCTTGTTTATTTGCTGAAACAAAAGCTCTGGGTGTGTAAGTGTTGCCTTCACAATAACACAGTGACAGTCGGYGCTCATTGCCGTTCTGAAAAACCTGATTAAGATACCGGGGCAAAGGCAATAATGAGGGATTTACCACAAGCAGCTCATATAATGACTCGAGTACACATTTGTCTCCAGTTATTGTGTTCTCCTGCAGGCTATGGAAGCTGCGTTTCATGAAAATAGTGGGGGGACTCTACTGATTCAGGTACAGCCATATTTATGAGTGGCGATATGGAAATGACTATAAATCCCAACCCGGATGTGCGCCATTATCAGGAGTTCTCTCTGCGTGTTGGCAGCTCATTATAAGCACGTTTGTGGAAACTCGCTTCGTTCTGTCGCTTCTGACGGCTCCACTAACCCRATTCCACTGCAAGTTCAGAAACAAAACTCTCGGTGATGTTTGCCTAACGTAATGTCTCCCCACTCTAGGTTCTGCGAGGTGGCCAAAGAGAACGGCATGGACATTTTCCGAGTGTTTGATTCCCTGAACTACCTGCCCAACATGCTGCTGGGTATGGAAGCAGCCGGAGCAGCGGGCGGCGTCGTCGAGGCCGCCATCTCGTACACGGGCGACGTCTCGGACCCAATGAGGCAGAAATATTCCCTGGATTACTATCTGAAGCTGGCTGAAGAGCTTGTCAAAGCTGGAACCCACATCCTCTGCATCAAGGTGAGGAAATGTAGGATCCCGGTGTCGCTTATCGAATAAATCCAATCTGCAAAAAACACATTTTCCCAGCGAGCTTCACAACTAACAAGCAAATAAAGTACAAATTAAAATGTGTATTAAAAGAAGTGTAAACCACCAGTTAACTGCCCAAAGCTGTTTTGTTTTTACTAAGTRGCGTCTCAGTACAGCTTTATTTGTTTTCATTTATTTTTATGGCAATTAAAGTTTTTATTTGACTCGACAAATAATCAGGATTCATGTGAGCAAACATTAATTTTATCCTTACCTACTTTTATTAGGAGGACTTTAAGGAATAATTTAGGTCTTTGGAAAGTTTATGAACAAATAAATCCTTACGTTTTTTGAACAGCTACCTCAGGGATGGGCAACTTAAATGATGGAAGRGGCCRCAGTTTTTTGTTGAMACTACCAGAGGGCCACATAGTGCTGCACACTTACCCAAATGTACTAAAACTGACATTTAAAAAATGTTTGTGTTATATGTGTTTTATTAAACCAACATACAGTGCAGGAACATATTTCATGCTCAAATGCATGTAGTTGTTCTGTTTAATAAATATAATTAAAAACATTTAGCAAACAAAAAACAACTAGTGAGTAAAAATGCAATGACAKAAGATGCCTTGAGTTCAGACTCCTGCATGGTTCTGGTACTTTTGACTTCAGAAAACTTCTCATATTTAGCTTTGTGCAACATTTTGTAGTGAACAGATTAAACAGAGGTTTGCCTTCAATTAATTGATTGCCCATTAATGTTAGATGAAATACTGCAGCATGTAACAGAACAAGTATTATCTTTTACTTTTTACATTTATTTTGTTGCTTTGAAACATACATTTTAAATTTACAAAGGATTTGAAATAAAGTTTTATATTAAATTAAGTTTAAAAAAGAAAAATAAACCTTTTTTTGGGTCACTTATTGGCACTAGTTGAATAGCCCTGCTCTAAAGGCTCATTGGTGGACCTGACTGAAGTCACGCGGGCCGTTTTGGCCCATGGGCTACCAGTTGCCCATCCCTCAGCTAAGGCTCTTTCAGTAGACGCCCAGTACCATTACTGAATCATGTTCTGACCACCTCGGTCCGTTCAGAGGACACACAGAAGCAGGGGGGACTGAAACACCTACCTCTGTACCCCCATGTGAGGTAGTGACAGAAATTGTAAAGCCGACTCCTGAGAAGGTGGGCCGGCGTAGTGCTGATTGAAGCATTTAGGAAACCATCAGACCCCGGGTTTCTTAAATCAGAACATCAGGTTTAAACTTTTGGTGTGATTTTTGTTAGTTTTATTCGAGGAGGTTTTATAGAGGAGGGAATAAGCACAAACGGCACAAAGACTGGCTAAAATGATGCAGCAGCACAGATACAACCATAAGAGTATTAAGTAGAAATTTGAAAGCATAAAAAGATGCACGTGATCATACTTTGATTCCTGTGACTCGTAAGCAGGATGGGTGTCAGCAACACGTCAGAGCAGCTGTGTTTTTTTCATGTCTTTTGATTCCACACTGATTAATGTTCTCTAAAAATGTGTGAGCGCAACGACAGTGTTTCTGTTCGTGACATCTGATCTGCCAAAAAGAGCCTTTAGTTTGAAACAGTGGTTTAATTGTTAAACAGTTAAAACCACAGAGGATGACTGCTGTCTGCAAAATGYCATCGTGCTCACAATCATTTTTGTTTTGTTGTACTTAGTAGTTTTGCTACACAAGCAGCTAAACTTGTTCTCAGGTTGAGGAAATTATTTAATTTTCTAATTACAAGGATGAATTTTGGTGGAATAAGTCTTTTATGCAGTAAAACATTTAAACTAAAATCTCTTTAAGGTTCACTGATAAACAAGGCTGAAGGTACTCKGCTTGTTTCATGTAAACTTACCTACAATTACAAATAATTAACTTCTTCGCTCAGGCGTGACAGAATATTAGAAATRAGAGATGATAAAACAACCGTTCTGCTGAATCATAAATCATCGCGCTCGGCCGTGGCCTTCGCATTAAAAACTGGCAAAACTAATCAGGTTCTTGTTTAGAAGCAGTGCTAGACTTGTGGAAATGCATTTTGGAGTCATTACATTAGGTAAAGTTGAGTTTTTATTTGGAAATTTGCCAATTTCAGGTGTGGGAATGTATTTTAATCCTTCTGCTAAATCAGCAGCATTATGTTTTCTGCACGTTTATTTGAAATTGGACTCAACCACCTTTAACCATTAAAAAGTCTCATGAGGGGAAAAAAGCCAACCACACATATTTTTTTTACTTTAGTGCTGTCAATAAACTGTCAAATCCCCCTTCAAACTCACAGTAACTTTARTGCCCTCTAGAAGCCATCAGGAGTAAAATTGATCGTATTCAAACCCATTATAAAAGCATKTTCTGATCCCGTATTTATCGTATTGTAAAATAATTCATTCCATTCRGTATTTTACTTTACACCTATCCCCATGCTTTTCATTTTAATTTGGTCTTACTTCTGCTTTTACATGTAGATGCTGGAAAAATAACAAGTTAAATAAAATGATGTTTAAATTTTRTCCTTTTATTTCAGGCTGAGGTAGTTCTAAAATATTGAGTAGTTTGTGGAAAAAATATAAATATTTTAAGAAATTTATTTTTAAGCAGTTATGTAAGGTGGTGAACTTTTTCGACCCAAGGAAAACGTATTATAAAGTTGGACTTTCTGAGAGTTAAGCCATGTTTATTCACATTCTGTTCTAAACATTTTTACCCTGATGAAAAGGACAAAGCAGCTGTAAAAACTTTCTGGAAGTCAGGAAATTTAACAAATTYTGTATCAAACAGCAGTAGCAGTCCTGAGAGAATAATTTCCTCTGKAGTGACAGTTTTATCAACCTTTTTTTAAACATAATTTTTGTGAAACRGTCTGCATCATGACTGCTGTTAGCTGAAAAACCAAATAGTCCTTTCAGATTTGGTTTCATGATGAAAATGTGTCTTTGAGTTTAAATGGTGATGAGTTAGTTGAAAATGTTWATGCAAACTCACAAAGCAGATGTTTAAGATGCAGCGCAAATCAGTTTTCTCTCATTTGTCAGGTTCAGATGCTGTGAAGCTGCAGATTGACGCAAATAATTGTAGTTTTTCTTCTTAAAGGAGGACAAAATGTAAACATCTGTGGACACGAACTATGGGACTTGTGCTGATCAGAAGCCAGCTCAGGCCACCGTTTATTTCAAAACGATGCMGATTTTTTACGAGGTTGGACTTAATCAGGTGGCCATTATTCAGTTATAGTRGAAAAATCAGCGGAGTGCTCATTTAAACRGATGGAGTCGTCTCTCTGCTGAGGCAGAGCAACGCGTGTTTAAAGGAGGCTTTACGATCATCTCGTCATCAGAGAGGAACCCATACTTTACCCGTCAAATGAGATGTTTTCTGAAGTGTCAGTTTCAAGCTAGCTGTCTCATAGTGGGTTCAAAGTGGGCCTCCATATACCTGAGTGTACTTCAGTTCAGAGCAGCATCACAGAACGATGAAACTCAGCCTTTATGTTTGTCTGTTTTAACTTCAGAAGTATGAATCAGAGTTTTAAAAGTCAAGGTTTATCTGGTTTAAAACATTAAACCATCTCCCTGTCACTTTGGACCAAACCTTTGGAGACGTTAGAAAAACTTTCATCATATTTTTGTTTTTTCTGCATTTCTACATGAGGTTTTCGGTGTTTTCCTCTCCAGGATATGGCCGGCCTGCTGAAGCCCGAGTCCAGCAGGCTCCTGGTCAGCGCTTTGAGGGACCGTTTCCCAGAAGTTCCCATTCACGTGCACACGCACGACACGGCTGGAGCTGGGGTGGCGGCCATGTTGGCCTGTGCTGAAGCTGGAGCGGATGTTGTTGACGTGGCGGTGAGTATTTACCATCTGAAGAGCTACTGTTCTGTAGACTGGACCTGATTTAACCTGAGTGAGCTGAACTCTGAGGGGAAAAGAGAAGAAAACACTGAGATTATTAAACCAGGGTTCCTGCAGGTCCTTAAAGTCTTAAAGGCATTGAATTCATCAATCCAAAAATAAGGCCTTAATTAGCCTTAAAATGTCTTAAATCAATATTTCAGAAGTCTTACAAATGTTAACACATTGTACATAGGATGATTGTAATTCATTTCAAATATTAAAATAATTGGTAAAAAGTATTTTTTAAATATTCACATGCAGACATTCCCCTTTGACATCACTTCCTGTTATTTCACATGCAAATATCTCAACAACTGTGGACCTGAGAAATGTGAAATTAGTTTAAGTTTAAAACTGACTCCTAAGAATGTTTCTGCTATAGTTAGATATGAATAAAAACAATTGGTCTATTAGCAATATTTTAACACCTCAACCAAAAAATACTTTGATTCATGAGTTTCTGCCACTTTTGATTTTTTGTCATTTGTGTTTATTATGAAATTGGTCTTAAATTTAATTTCACTTGGCATTAAAAAGTCCTAAAAGGTCTTCAATTTAACTTGCCTTAAACTGTAGGAATCCTGTAAATGGGTATGATCAGCTAACAACAGCTAACCAAAAAGTTAGCTTCACTAATCACTATTCCGCTAACGGTAAACCGATTAAAAATAAACTAGCRGAAGCTAATGCTAACAGCTTGTGTCAGACTTTTTCATCTCTTTCTAGTTRAAGACTGGTGGGACTGATGCAAACCTGTTGTTGGTGGGTGGGATCATCTGATCCCATCTGTTGCAATAGTTTGTTTACCCCTTTCAGAATTGCTCTCGTTTGTTTTTACAAATCCCGTTTGAAGTTAGCCAAACAACAAATAGCAACTAAACTATTTTATACATAATCAATCTATGTATTACTTATTTAAAAGTAAAATGTTTTATTTCTTTTTGACACAATTAGTTTGAAGTTTATCTGCTAAGGATGCTATGTGCTAACACACACAGTGCCTGACACATCCAGCACTGCTTGTAAAAGGGGATATTTTTAATTTAATTTGAGATAAACTTCAGAAAAGTTGAAGTTTTACACTTGTGACRTATTTTGAGGACCTACACTAATTCTGTGGAAGCTAATCAGTCGGTTTCCAGAGTTAGCAAAAAGCTAATCTGCTAAATGAGAAGCTAGTTCTTAAATKAGTGAATTAGCAGAAATGGGTGTTTCGTACTGAATGTATCTTTGGATGGAAGTTCACCATCCTCCTGAGCATTACAGGAGCACATAAAAGAAAAGTCATCAAACAAACCTCAGAAGTTTCAGAGTAGGTCTCAGGATGGTTGTGGATCCTGAGGGACAGGTTTATGCTTCTTGGACAAAGGCTGGGAAGTGATCAGTCCAATGCTGAAAGAGCTAAACCTCCTGTGACCCAGATACCACCAGGTCAATGTACACAAACTGTTTTATCACTGATGAAAGAGTTGTTTTTGTTGTCTTTGTGGCGAACCACTGGCGACAAAGTTTCTCCAAATTTTATTTTAAGATTTTATTATTTTTCGACAACACTGGTTCGTTCCTCAAGTTTGAGTCCTTTTCTTGTGTCTAAGTTATTTATATGTTCAGAACAAAAACATTCTTCTGAAAACGGTTCTGCTGCTAGACTGATATTTTGTGAAGAAGCAAAACTCCAGAGAAAAAGATTGAAAAACCTTCAGAAAGCCTGAAAAACTAATAACCGAGACCACTTTGAAAGATTCCAGGAAAATCTGTGCTTTTGAAAGAAAAATATATTTATTTTTTAACAAATGTGGGATTTCTTAAGAACTGCCCACAGTTCTGTATTAAACAYGCTGATATTCAGGTAAATAGCTTGAGAAGAGTAATGATTTTGAAATTCCAAACTTTTCTTACTAACAAAAATTCTGTTTATTTTTTCCTGCTAGTTTAAACTTATTCTGGACATTCCTTTGCAGGTTGATTTTAACACATGCGCATATTTTTTTAAAGCTTTTGTGTGTATCAAGGCTTATAGCTGAGCTGTTTCGGGTCATCCCACACCAAATCACCCAGTGGGTTTAACCTGATCATCTCAGAATTTGATGAAAATTGGCATAACTGTTTGTTGTATGCCCTTTTTTAATTGAAGCATGTTTGGGTCCATTAAACGTTTGATCTTTCCTATGACCTCGAAATTAACATTGTGGATCAAATTGCCTTAAGGTGATCTTTGTTAAAATAGAATCCTCCACTTGTTTTCTAAAACTTATAAAGCTTTAAAATCTTAATATATTTTATTTAAAAACAATTTTGATTAAAAAAAACATACTGGATGAACTTAACCATAAAATGCATCATAAATGTACATAATTTTATGTATTGAATCTTGAAGGACCAAACTCATCTTGGCTGTGGATCAACCTGAATACGTGTTCAGGTCATCTAAAGGTCATGTGATCCACAAGGTCATAGGAAAGATCAAAGTTTAATGGACCCTAAGATGCTTAAATCAAGAAAAGTTAAGACAGATTTAGAAACTTTATAAAGTTCACTTATCAATGACACAAAGTTTGTGAAAACTGGCCCAAATGTTCCTAAACTAATTGAAGTTGAAAATAGGCATACCTATTTTTGCCAGAAATGTAACATTTTAGGGCCCCATATCTCTGGAGCCACTAGTCCGATTGACCTCAAATTTGAGACTGTGCTGTGGGATTACAATTGACAAATATACCAAGTTTAATCAAAATCTGAGACAGTCGGGTTATTTTTATGTATTTTTTATTTATCTATTTTTGCGTGATTTGATCCATTATGACCCTTTTTGTTTCTTTCCCTTTAGGTTGACTCTATGGCTGGGATGACGTCTCAGCCCAGCATGGGGGCCATGGTTGCGTGCACCAAAGGGACTAAATACGACACCGGTGAGTGAACGTMTTTGTTGGACAAATTCAATTTCACTGCAACAAAGAATTCATTTGTTTCCCGTTGTGTCACCTGATGGAATCACAGCACAAAAACAAACCAGTAATTCAGCTTTGTTTAGGTAGAGAGAAAAATACATAAAACTGCAACAATTAAGGCTGTTTTTAAATCTGCATGGCAACATGACAGAAAATAAACTGACTCTAACCTGTCAGAGGTTCAGATGAGGTGATTGTAATCTGCAGTTTTTAGATTGATGCTGTTTTGAAGATCAGTTTATTTWAAAAAAAACACACCAGCTTCAGATGCAAACATTACGCTTTTATTACAGTTTATAGATGTTAATGAGACAGTTTGWTAGATCAGCGGTCTTGCATAGAAATAAGTTTGGAAGTCTTTCTGAAAGAGCGCTGCTTAACACGAGGGAGGAAAATCAATCAGCAAATCAATGGTGCATTTGTAATTATGGCCCTGAGCTGGAAAGGCCTGCAGATTCTGCTGAGTAACAATGTCCACAGTCTTTTATGGGAAGGCACAGAGGAGAGGGAGGCACAGCACATGAAAGAAATCTGTCGATAAAAGCAGCTGCAGAACATTCTTTATTTTACTTTTTTAAACCATAAATTACTTCTTCAGACAGATGTAGCTACAAGATGATGTTATTTCGATCACAATGTTGGTTAAAAAAACAAGTGAAAACCTGCAGGCCTCCGGAGCGTCTCTGCTCTGACAACGGGACACCTTTCTGTGAGTTTTTTAAGTCTCCAAAGCAACCTTTGTGCGATTATTATTCATTTGCTTTCCCAACAACAACCTGCCAGGTYCTATCAGAGATCTTTTTGGTCTTTTAGACCCCTCTCAGGAGGTCATAAGATAAGTTGAAAGATGGATTTTGTGTTTATTCTCTTATTTTTTTTCCCATGTGTTCCAAACAATATAATTTTCATGGGCTGTGTGAAGAAAGAAAAATAAACTGAACCCCCCCCCCGCTGATAACTGACCGCAGCTTTGTGACCTCTGCACCTCCCACAGACAACAGAGGCTGAGTGGAAAATATATCAAAGCAGACAGCTGTAAAACTTGCGTTTAAAAATTGAAGGAACATGAAACGGACTAAAGGAATTAAAACTGATTCGAGGTTTGCCGGTTGCTTATGTGTAGAAACTCTGCAGGGAAAACTGACTCAGCTCTGCTAACTGGATCTGATGGCTCATTTCCTTTTTTTTTTTTTTCTTTAGCCGATCCACAAGAAGCTCGGCTAATTTTGTTTACGTTTGCACTGCACAGTTAAAGTGCCATACACAGATATTAACTCCACTGTAGTCCTGTTTTATAGGGCAGTTCAGGACMGGTATTAAATAAAGTAATTAGTTTGGTTTATTTTTAAGCCCTGATAARGTTGTTTAACACATTAGCACCATTTTTAAAGGTCTTTTCAGAACCACCCTAATTAGGCCACTTAATTTCTGCTTGACCTGGTCCCTTCTGATGTCGCCGAGTCAAAACAAAAGCTTTCATGCTAATGTTTTAAAGCACAATCTGAAGTAAAAAGCCAAAACAGCATGCTTTTTTTGCCATGTAGCTTTAACATGTTCTCACTGTTATCATGAATGTATTAATAATTCTCTGGTGTGTGCAGGTAGTGCTGCTCAGAAACGTTCTGGATGATTTTACTTTGATCCTTGGGCGGATCATTATATAATGGGCTTAACTGTTAAATATTTAAGCGTCTCTTAAAAGTCCTGTAGAGCTAAAAAAAAAAAAGTTTATTTTGCTTTGTTGAAAAGAGAACTGTCTGGTTTTCAAGGAACACAGTTTATATTTTTCAAACTTTCCAACTATTTTTATTTTGTTATACTGTTCCTTTTTTTAGTTGCACTTTACAACATCCCACAGTTGGTTTTAGTTTTCCTGCAGTTGTTTGGAACATATAGTGACACTCCACCCCCAGTTTTTGTGGGCTGTCATTCAGCTGTGTGTGGAGCCTAAAGGAGGGAAAAGACCTCAAACTTTTCACTGTAAAATAAAATTTAAAAAAAAACTGAGGGTTATAGCCAGTGGTGGGCATAGGTCCCCTAAATCAGTGGTTCCCACACTTTTTATCTTCTGACCCAAAAAATATCCATGGCAAAAACTTGTGACCCCAAATATTAC